TCAAATTAATTGATATTTAATGACTAGCAAAGAAGTACAGTACAAATAAGGGAGAGTGTTTAACCTGAAAAACTTGCTTTCTTTTACAATGTCTATTTAGCAGACCCTCCTCTGGCAGATGGGGGGCGGGCAGAATAACCCGTGGTACTCCAAATGGTATCGGACCAGAACTTCCATAAACTGTAATGACTGGTCAGGCCAGCAGATGATGGGAGTTGGGATTCCAATAACATTTGGAGGACCACAGGTTCCTCAATCCTGATCTGACTAACAGCAGCCGGAAGGAGTAGAGAGAGGACTCAGGTGAACATTAGCCTCCCAGGACCATGAACAGATTCCGTTACTCCCAAGAAAATCAGTTAAAGAACAGGCTAATCTCTCTCTTCTTGGGAATTCTCTCTGGGCAGCAGAACAACAATATTCACAAACAACTTGGACATACTTCTTGGATACACTTCATGGGAACAGTCATTGTGAGGACCTCATAAACACATTTGTTTGTAGTTACAGGTAAGTAGCCGTGTTGGTCTGCCGTAGTCAAAACAAAATTTAAAAAAATTCATTCCAGTAGCACCTTAGAAACCAACTAAGTTTGTTATTGGTGTGAGCTTTCGTGTGCATGCATGGTATCTGAAGAAGTGTGCATGCACACGAAAGCTCATACCAATAACAAACTTAGTTGGTCTCTAAGGTGCTACTGGAAGGGATTTTTTTATTTTGTTTTGACATTTGGTTGTGTTACTGTGAACCACTTTGAAGAGCCATTAAAGGCAGCTGGAAAGGGGTGTACATTAGTTTCATCTAAATAAAGAACAGGGATCTCAGGGAATTCCCCAGAGAGGGCCACTTTTCGGGTGCCCTCGGGTGCCACTGGAAGTAGCCCAGTTTTAGGTTGCTATGAAATTAAATCATGCTGCTGTTTGCATGCATTCTATCCAATGGCTGAACAGTGCCCAGTGGAAATGTATACGTCAAAAGCAGCGTGTGACGATTGTTACACAGAAACAGAACAAGATACCTGACTTTTGCAGGCTCCACAAAAATTTACCCAACCAGTGATTGATTTATTTATTTGCCAAGAAAAACAATGGCTGGTTATTTAGGACAGTCATGTCAAATAATGATACAAACGTTACCAAGTTTTTATCTACCGCATCCTTGCGAGCAAGAAAAGGAGTAGAAAGCAACTGCTGTTGCCACAGGGAGGCCTCAAAGAAAGCGGAAAAACTATATACAGTACTATTGAAATGTGACTAAATGAAAATATTTAAATAAACAATCACGTCTACAGTGAAGTCTACTGGCCTTAAACTTCAGGAAAAACATGAAGGCCAATAACATTACATTAGCACACAATGTAAGAGACATCCTTGATGCATTTAAAAAAAAATGCAATCCAGCTCCTGCAGAGAGTGAATTATTATGCCTACGGCCATACATGCTCCAGTCCCCAATGACTGCCTCACTGCTAACCATCTTGCTTTGCAACGCCCATCCTCAAAAGGTGAGGAGACCCAAATCCTTGAATTCCATTCCATAAAGATGGAATGGTCTCTCTGCTTTCACAGCACTTTTGAGGACCGGAAGGTCACTGTATGTTGTGGTCCGTTTATTTAGGCCCTGATGGAACTGACAAATCGAATGATGAAAATATGAAAATGATAACAGAGATTTGGAGGACAGGGGACGATGTAACTTGAACAACACACAATAAGATTGCAAAAATCTACTTTAGAGACTCACTGTCTTCTAAAGAATGTGTGAAGCATAACCCTACACTGAAATTTTGCAGTTCCAAAGCAGAGATCAGAAGAAAACGTAAGCAAAGGGAGGAAAAATAACAGCTATATTGTCCAGATTTACTAAATGGCTGCAGTAGTTCCCAGCTTCTGTCATCTCCATTTCCTAGTGCCTTTTCCCATGGATCAAATATAAGATTCTAAGCTGATCAGAGTAAATTTGTTAATCATCCCATACACATTGATCACACAGGCACATACATACATCAATGAGTTGTCGTCCGTCTTTGTCAGAAGGCTACTTCCGGCTTCCAAAGAACACACAATCATTGGAAGGCCTTCCACTTTCCCACAAGCCCAACCCTTAAAAGGAACTGATTAATGGGGGGGGGGTGCTTAACACTTTCATTAGCTGATTGTTGGAATTAAAAAACCTTTTCTCAGCACTTCCCAAGATTCACAAACATCAGCACGCCAAGGAAATAGTGCTACTTGCTATCATAAAACTAAGACTGTCAGAAATAAGACAAAAGGAGGATAAAATGTCCCAGAGGACTACAGTAAGCCTCTGGAATCAGGTAGACTTAACTGCATGTCAATGCGGTGAACTCCATGGCATTAATTAAATCTATTCTGGTTGTTGTACCCTCTAGCACTGCAATTTACGTCCTTATTTCAGGAAGTTCACCCACACACAAAAAGGTTAGCATTTACAGTTGCATCAGAAAAACTAAACACCAGCACCAATGAAACCTATGCTGACATCCCAGTATAGCCTCAAGTGGCTGCTACTCATAATCACATTTACAAAGCAAATAGTGATCCAATTCAGATTCATCAAGCTGAAGGGGGGGGGATCAATTCCTTCAGCAATATATCTCACCGTAACAATGTATCTGCTTTAGTACAATTAGGAGATGGCAGACTAGCCCTTATTTCTTCAGGGTCAAATATGCAAGTACATGTCTAAAGATGACACAGATGTTGTCTGACCACAGCTGAGACAGTTTTTGGTATCCAGCACACACACACACACACACACACACAACCTTTATTTCAGGTTCAACTTCTCTTTCTCTAGTAATGCATTTCCCTTGTCTATTCCCCTCTGACTTTCACTCCCTATCAGGGCAATATAATGCAAAAAAAAAAAAAGGTTTCAAGAACTCTAAGCTCTCCAAACCCAGGTTACTCAAGCCAGAATACCTCTTTTTAGGTAGAAGTAGTCAATGCAATACCCTCCATACATTGTTGGGACTACAATTCCAATCATCTCTGGCCATTGGCCACTCTTACTGTGGCAGATGGGAGTTATAGTCCAACAACATTGCCTATCTCTGTGCTTGTGCAGTCTCTGTCCAATTTTCTTCCCACACACCATACTCCAAAAATTTCAGGGCAGCCCAGCTGAACCTCAGGAAAGAACATTTTTCAGGGGATGCATAGTGAAGGAAACTTCTGTTGCCCAAGCAGTTTCCATTCACACAAACTCTGGATCCAAACCACTACTTTCAGCCCTGTTCACACTTGCCACATCTCAAGGAACAGCTTGGACTGACTGCCCTTTATGGATAAAGGAAGAATTGTTCCCCCACCCAGAGTGATGCTAGTTTGCAAATTTCATTCCCCTGATCCTTTAAAAATGATATTATCTGTGCAAGTCTAGTGTGCCATCATACGCAAGGAACATACACCAATTTTTGAAGGACTAAATAGCAAGCCTAAACACAATTTATACTCACATAATTCGCCAGTGTCATCTGCCTTTCATCGCTTATCTGATGTGCAGCCCTTCCAAGCTGTTAGGATAATTGTTTTCCTACTTTTCTGTAAATTATCACAGATGCCATGCCAGGATTGCACATTCATTTCTCAAACACATTATGAGGCAGAACCTCCCATTAACAACAAACAGTGGAACATTATATTTATTTTCAGTAAACTCACATTCTACACAATAACTGATTTTCAGCTGCAGCTGAATGCAGTCTAGATGTTGAATAACTGGAGCAGGCTAGTGTCATGATGGACCTATCTTCAGACAGAGGATTAGACTTGATAACCTCTGGGCCTTGCTAACTGACTTGCAGCCAAAGTTCTCAAAGCCACAAGGATGGAGTAGAAACTTTAACAATGAAATTGCTCCATCCTTCACCCATACATTCTCATTTTATGATCAAACCCCTCCCTCATATATTTGCCCACTCCATCATTGGTTTCCCCCAACAGGGTTTACTGCATCTCCTACCCTTCCAAGGAAATGGCTTGATGACTCTGTGTAGTAAGGGGTGAGGAGTTATTTCTCTGTTCCCAAATACAAGAAGAGCTATGCTGGATCTGGCTAAAGGTTCAGCTAGTCCAATATCATTTGCTGCCAGATGCACCCGGAAACCCAATAAGCAAGGCATGAAGGTAACAGACCGCTTCTAAAGTTGACCCCAGTACTCTATACTGCCTCTGGACCTGGAAGTTCTATTTAGCCACTGCAGCACCACTGATTCCCTCGACTTCCCAGCTAAAAGCCTCCAATCTCAGATTTTATTTGGTAGTGTTTCAACCCTCCTTTCCACGGGGATGATGAAAGTATTTAACAAAATCACCAAGAGGCAAGACAGCAAGCAGCAATTTTCTATGAAGAATCACCCTAGGCAAAGGTTATGTTTCTGAGAGCAAGATCTGGCCAAATGGACACCTTCTCCTGCTCCGCCTGCCCCAGTATTTCGCCTCCTGCTCTTCCTCTGCTTCCAAAACACAAACAAGCCAAAGGTGCCCATCGAGTCCAGTACGTTGGTTCCCACCGCGGCCAATTGCTTGGGGAGCTGGAGTCCCCCGCCACGACCCTTGCCCCCAACCCCGAACTCCTCCTGTCCCCAAACACAGGAACAGTGTCGGGTCACGGTGAATGTCGAGATGCCCCGATTTCCACAACAACCGACCTCGTGGGGAGAGCTGGATCCAGCCCCCCCCCGCTTCTTCCCAATGCACTTCGCCCCCACCCCTTCTTCTTCCAAAACACAAACAGACCACGCAGCGCGCAGCACCTCGGTCCCTGCAGCAGCCAGCCGCTTAGCAGCCTTGGGTTCGACCCCACTTACCCCTCCGGCTCCCTGCAGAGCCACCCACCCCTCGCCACAGCGGCTGCAGCGTTTGTGCCTCCAGGCTGCCACCCCGTTGCCCCGAGAAGACCCGACCCGACCCCCTCCTGCCCTCCCGCCGCCTCCCGCCGGCCGTCCTGCCTGCTCCTTCCGTGCTTTGACCCACCCGCGGACTCGCCGGTGTTGATCCAGTCCGGGTTCGCCAGGCTGGCGATAGCGAAGATGTCGGCGGCCAGAAAGAGGCATCCTGAGATGATGGTCAGTTTGTCCATGTCCTCCGGCTCCGGCCTCGGCCCGGCTTCCCAAGAGCGGGGCCCGGGCCGGGGGCTCCTCACAGCCGCGGCTCCATGGCTCGGCTCGCCTTCCGGCTCCGCGCTCCGCAGCAGACGCGCTCGCCGTCACCCCGCCGCCGCCCTCAGGGAGCCGCTGCCACAGGAGCGGGCTCGGCCCCCCCCCCCGCGTCCCGACTCGGGACGGCGCCGGAAGCAAAACCCGAGCAGCCGCCGCGCAACCCGGAAGCGAAAGCTCACGCCCTCGTCCTCATCTCTCCCCGCGCCTTTCACACTTTGTCCCAGACGGGGCGGGGCCTGCTAAGGAGACGGCGGCGGCGGCGGCAGCAAGAACATTGGGCGGGGCTTAGAGCGGAGAGGGCAGGCTTCAAGGGCGGGGCTTCCTACAGGGTGAAGGGGCGGGGTTGTAGAAATGTAATACTGCGCGAGCACGTGAGGGGCGGTGCTAAAGGGCGGGGCGGGGCTGAGGCTCGCTTAGGGGCGGGGCTCGGCGACGGGGGAAGCGTTGAGGAAGGGGGCGGGGCTAGTCTATTTAAATAAATAAATATATTTATTTTTACTGAGGGGAATTTAATTGAGGAAAGGGAAAAGGAAAGTTGCGCTATTATTATACTACTACTTACGTACTAAGGATTTATATGGGTGCTGGAGCAAGACTTTAGGGGAGCCGCGTTCAAATCCCCATTCGCTACCTCTTTTCCTGTCCTACCTCACAGGGCTGTTGTGAGGGTAGAACGGGGGGAGGGGTATGAGACTCTTGCCAGCTGCCAGCTGAGCTTCTTGGACTCTCCTGGGCAAGGCGGGCCACCTAATACAGTCTGAAATGGTGCAGCCATATATTTTCCACCCCAGAGAGAGCAATACATAAGCTCAAGAGCGTGTGTAATGAATTTGCTAACTACATTTTACTGCTCTTTTACAAGTAGCCAGAAATCTAAATCTGAACCACTTGCTACCAAGGGTGTAGGATGCTTGGCCAATGATTGGTATTCTAGACTGCCAAGTCTAGCAACTCCAAAGCCACAGAGTTGTATGGATTCTAAAAATATATTTAGCCATAGCAACACCCCTTCCTTTCAATGGCCATCTAGAAATACACACCCATAACACTGGTGCAGGGAAACCTAATTGCCATGTGACATTTAAGCTGCAGACTGTCTATCCAGTTTATTTTTAGACCCTTCTACACAAATTGCAAGGTATAAAAGTGCCATATTCAAGCTGCAGTCCTGCACAGAATTACCTGGAAGTAAGTGCAGTGGAACATAGGACAGAACAACACATTAGCAAACAGGAAGGAGAGGCGCTCACACAGGACGATCAGTAAAAGGGGTGCTCAACCCGTCCTGCACCCACTAATTTTTCCTCAGACATGCTCCGCTCTCCAAAGTTATTCTTGTCCACCCCATTCCAGCTCAAGTCACTTTCAGAGCCAGGCTATGGAAAGTACCATGGGGGAAAACCCTTGCTCAGTAGCAGAAGACAGGTGTTAGTAGCTGAATACCCACAGTTCAGTTCTTGGCATCTTCATTTTTTAATCTAGTAGCAAGTGATATGTCCTCTGCTAAAGGCCCTAAGTATTGTTGCTACTTAGGCTGTGTACACACAACATTTTATTCTAGAATCTATGGAGGCTGGTCCAGCATACACACCTTTGAAGCACATTTCCCTGCACAAAGAATTCTAGGCACTATAGTCAGAGCTGCAATTCACAGCAACCCTTAACAAACTACAGTGCCCATAATTATTTGAGGGTGTGCTTCAAAGGTGCTTTAAAGGTGCAATGTATATGCAGCCTGAGTACTCGATTTTTCTACGTAGTCCACCCACAATCTATGAATATGATTTTTTGTTTTTCTATTGCGTTGTTTTTGCTCCTGAAAAGCACATATTGACTAAGTGGCTTCATTCCAAAATAAAAGCTCATTTTGGATTGCTTCTGCATTACCCTGCAAGGTGTCTAGAACTTGTGGACATCCAATAAAGCTGAATGTTGGAAGATTCAGGACAGAGGAAAGAAAGTTCTTCATGCAGGGCATAGTAAAACTATGGACCTTGCTCTCTCAGAAGGCAGTGATGGCCACCAAACTATTTGACTTTAAAAGAGGATTGGACAAATTCATGGAGGAGAGGGCTATTGATGGCTACTATTCATGCTGACTATGCTCTACCTCCACAGGTGTTTCTGAATGCCAGTTGCTGGGAACCACAGGAGAGGAGAGTTCTTGTGTGCTCAGATCCAGCTTGTGGGTTTCCTGCAAGCATTTAGTTGGCCACTATGAGAACAGGATGCTGGACTAGATGGGTCTTTCGCCTGACCCCGCTTGCTCTTCTTATGTTCTTATGTTCATTGGAGATTCCAAGAATCTTGGAATTCCACAGTACTAGTATTCTAAACTGTTACTAGGCATCAATGTCACCTTGCCTACCGTAGTGTTATCCCTTCACATGACACTGTAGGCTGGTGGTCTCTTCCCAAAAGGCTTTCCAGAGGCATTTCTCAGACCGTCTTTGGCTACACAGAGAATCCACGGAGGCTTTGTCAACATGGACCACCAGAGGTTTTCTGGTAGAAGAGGTTCATCTTATGAAAGAAGGCCATCTATGCAACAAACGTCATATGAAAGAGGGATGTCATCTGACAGAAGAAGTTCAACTGCCAGAAGGAGATCATCTGCCAGAAGACGGCTGTCCGACATGGGAACTTCATTTGACAGAAGAAGGTCATCCGCCAGAAGAGCATCTGTCAGACGACCATCCATCAGACGACCATCCTTCAGACGACCATCCTTCAGAAGACCATCTCTCAGACGGCCGTCTGTCAGAAGACCATCTGTCAAATGGTCATCCATCAGAAGACCATCTGTCAAATGGTCATCCATCAGAAGACCATCTGTCAAATGGTCATCCATCAGAAGACCATCTGTCAAAAAAAAATTGTCTTTCAAAAGTGCGACATATTTCCCACCAGGTAATTACAACACCAGAATTTGTTTAAGGTTCTTCTAAACATCTGTATACACAAAGCACATTTAAAACACCTGACCTCCCACAAAGAAATGTGGGAACTGTAGTTTGTTAAGTATGCTGGGCAATTTAGTTAAACATAGTTCCCAATATTCTTTGGGGGGGAGCCATGTGCTTTCAATGTAAGGTGTGTATACATTCTGCTCTCATTAATGCCAGCAGTTCTTGGATGGGAACTGTTGAAATTGTCCCTGTGACACTGAGATGGCACTGGATTGTGACCACATTGTCCTATACAGTACTCTTGGCTCCATGAATTATGGATTTGCATCTCAACACAGGCCCTACCTGGGATCCTGTGTCCAGTTCTGGACACCATGGTTTAAGAAGGATATTGACAAGCTGCAACATGTGCAGAGGAGGGCAACCAAGATGATTAAGGGTTTGGAATGGGTGAGGGAGTTGGGTATGTTTAGCTTGGAGAAAAGAAGTGATAGGAAAGCCATCTTCAAATATCTGTAGGGCCATCACATGGAAGGGGAAGTAAGCTTGTTTGCTGCTGCTCCAGAGGATAGGACCTGAACCAATGTATTCAAATCTAAAGATAGGAGATTCCAACTAAACATTAGGAATAACATTGTGACAGTAAGAGCTGTGGGTCAATGGAATGGATAACCTTGGAGGTGGTGGACGCTCCTTCATTGGAGGTTTTTAAACAGTGGTTGGGTAGCCATCTGCCAGGGATTCTTTAGCTGTGACTCTTGCATTGCAGGTGGTTGAACTGGACAATCAATCCTTGGGATGCCTTCCAGCTCAGTAGTTCCATGAACACTCCTTGTTTTCTTTTCAGGATTCCTAAATGAACCTCTCAGATGTTGATAGACAGGTATCGTGGCCAGGATCCAAAGAACTGTGCAACTAATTCCAGTATGCCCAATGGGGCTTTTGGGGCTCACATTTCTCCAATAGCAGTCTCCAATGCTTCTTGGGGAAAGTCTTTTGAAAGCTAGTATGTCTCACACAGTTCTTTGGGTCCTAACTCTTGGAAATAATACATCTGGAATGAAATTGATTTGCTCTATAACTCTGAGCTTAAGTTTTGGGAACTGGGTCTTGAAGCCCATTAAGCTAAGGAGAATTGTATGCTTGGAGAAGGTGCTCAGAGCAACCTTTGGTCCTTCAGGTGTTGCAGAGTAAAACTCTCATCCTCCCTGTCCCATTGGTCATGCTTGCTGGTACTGGTGCAAGCTGTGGTTCAGCAACATCTGGAGGGCCAAATGTTCTCCTGCACCTGGCCGAGAGGGTTAGGCCACATGAGCTTTGCAACATGTCCAAATTCTCTTCCTTAGCAGATGAAGAAGAAACCTCATCAACAGACTCTGATGATTATTACAGCTGGGACACAGGTGAGTGTGGCAAATTCAATACAGGCAAAAGAAAGGATTTCTTCACACAGTGCAAGATTAATTGCTGGAATTCACTGTCACCAGATGTTGGGGTGCTCAGTAGTTTCGGTAGTTTAAAATGGGAATTAGACAAATTAATGGAGGATAGAGTTATCCACACCTGTTAGGCAGGATGCTCAAAAGTAATTGACCATATGAACATTGGAAGCTGCCGTATACTGAATCAGGCCAATGGTCCATCTATCACAGTTTAGTTAGCACTGATGGTTCTCATGGTTTTAGGGAGGGAATCTTTCCCAGCCCTACCTGGAGATGCCAGGGACTGAAACAAAGATCTTCTGCGTGAAATACAGATGCTCCACCCCTGAGCACCCTATGTCATGGACTGGTTGAACACAGAGGAATGGTGGGAGGAACCAGCTGGGGAACCACCAAAGAAGAAGTCTCAGAGGCTGGGGAGTGGTGATGGAACAACAATGAGTGGTCAGAGGGAGAAAAGGGAGAAGACTGCGAGGAGGTGATATTGAAAGCTGAACAGGCAACAGGGTTTAGTGAGCTGGGAGAGTCTGTGGCAGAGAGAAGTTCAGAGACAGTAGCTGAAGCAGAAGGGTGGGAGGAGGGAGACCAAGATGCAGAGATTAGTCAGGTTGGTGAAGAGTCATGGGTATCTCCCCCTCCTGTTGCAACCAGCTCCCCTCCCCCCACCCCCCACCCCATTTCCCATAATCAGAAGAGGGTTGAAACAGGTGGAGCAGTGATATGCTGCATGCAAACACAGTCTCTGATTTCTTGGGGGAAAGCCCTGGGGAGGAGGGGATTTAGATGACTGTGGGGAGGGGGGCACTTTCAGCCACTGATTCATGGGGGTGATTCATGGGGATCACCTACTGGAGATGAACTGCTGTGTTTATTTGGCCTGCAACTCAGCCAAGAGTTAACTCCAAATTTGAACAGTGTGATTTGGCTCACTTTTTGACACCCTAGCACTGGATACCAGTTTCTAGTTGGGGGGGGGGAGGCTGTTGCTAGCATGCCCCCTCCCTGTAAGCTTCCCAAATGTAAGGTTGCCATATTTCAAAAAGTGAAAACCCGGACACAAAGGTTGTTGGGCTTTATTAATGAAATTTGCCAAAATCCACACTTCTGACATGGATTGCCATACATTCAGATTTCCCCGGACATTTAAGCAATTTCCACCCAGACGCTGCTTACAAGGGCTGAATACCGGCTATGTCTGGGAAATTCCCAAAAGTATGACATCTGTTTGAGCATTGTGGAAAACTGGAGACTGGACTCAGTGGATCTTCCGTCTGATCCAACAGGGATTTTGTTCTTGGGTGTCACCAGATTCAAAGAGCTACAGCAGTGACTAGAGGCTCTGCCAGGCAACCAGTTTATTCAGCATTCATTCTGATTTGCTTGCATGAAACTTATACAGTGGTTAGACCAGGCTTCCTCAACCTCGGCCCTCCAGGTGTTTTGAGATTACAATTCCCATCATCCCTGACCACTGGTCCTGCTAGTTAGGGATCATGGGAGTTGTAGGCCAAAAACATATGGTGGGCTGAGGTTGAGGAAGCCTGGGTTATTAGACTATAGACCCCTCCAGAATGATGGGGGGTTGGTTGGTGGGAGGAGAGTTGGGAGCGCATTGCGCAACATGTCATTGACTAAATCACTAGTATTTAATCATTGACATGTTGCATTGCTCAGGGTTTTACACTGGACCATCTATCCACCAGGACGCGTGGATAGCAAGTTCGAAAGCACGTCAAAGTGCAAGTAGATAAATAGGTATCGCTCTGGCAGGAAGGTAAACAGCATTTCCGTGCACTGCTCTGGTTCGCCAGAAGCAGCTTAGTCATGCTGGCCACATGAGCCGGAAGCTGTACACCGGCTCCCTCGGCCAGTAAAGCGAGATGAGCACCACAACCCCAGAGTTGTCCACGACTGGACCTAATGGTCAAGGGTCCCTTTACCTTTACCTATCCACCATTCTGTTTTATTAGTTGTCCTTTAATGTTTCCCCAGGGTTACCACTTGGAGGGGCACATATGAACCAAAGTGCAACAAAAGCCGGGGGGGGCCCACTCCAGAACATTTTTGGTATGAAAAGTCACAGGACTTCAGCAAGAAGCTAGGGGGCATGCACTAACAAAGCAGTATGTCCGCCCAGAAGCTTTTGCAGGCGCAAACAATAGTGGATTGCTTTCTTTCTCATTTAGATGAAGATACCAGTTCAGATATGAGTGGATCTGAACATACTTTAAGTGCCACTGTGAAGACAAATATCCAAATGGGAGAGCAGGGATTAGGCTTAATCCTCATTCAGAACGGGCCCTACATCCAGATCTCAAGCCTGGTAGAGAAAAGTGCAGCAGTAAGAGATGGGAAACTCCAACCAGGTAAGCAGGTGGAAACAACCTCAAACCTGGGGGGTGCATGGCTGGTATGTGGTAGGAACAGAAAGAGCTTTTACAGCAGCAAAGGAAAACCTCTCTCTTGGAACTCCCTCTCTTCCACTGCTTGTTGCATTAGACCCAAATTAGTCGTAGGCATTAATTTCAACAAGTCTATACTGAGTGGGACCAGCACCACACATCAATGAGATGTAGGCAGTGTTTTATTTTATTAAAAAGAAAAAATGGTGACGGTACTCACCATGATGTTGTTACACTTAATATGGTGGTGGTTGGGGAGATGCTGGTACTGAGTACCCTTGAGTACCTCCATGGGCAGGCACTGGATGTAGGAACTACCAGGTTAAACAAGCCAACAACTTCCCCCAAACTAATAGCTTTCCTTTCCTTCCAGGTGACATCCTGATTAAAATTGGGCATGCTAATGTCCTAGGGTGGACACTACGAGAGCTAAGGCAGCTTCTGCACACCACCCTCATTGGGACCGTTCTGCAGATCCAAGTTTACAGGGAATTTATGAAATTACCGGTCCGATGGGAAACTGCCATCGACAGCATTCCTGAAAGAAAGGGAACCAAGCTAGGAGAGTAAGAAACCATTTTCTAGTTCACTGTTTGGGTAAAGGTCATGAGAGTGCTGGGGGGAAGGGGAGGGTTGGAAATCTAAAGGTAACATTATTTGACCATGTCAACTTCTCGAAATGTGTTGTATCTCAGTGGAAGTGCATACACTTTGCATGCAGAAAACTCCAGGTTCAATCCCTGGGCTCTCTCTTCCAAGGGGTATAAAGACCCCATCAGAAACTCTGAAGAGCCACTGTCTGTCAATGTTGAGCAGGGAGGGATTAGGAACCTCAGGCCCTGGGGAGAAATGTGGCCCTTCAGGCTTCTCTATCTGGCCCTTGGGACTCTTCCCAGACCACCCAAGCACTGGTTGTGCTTCACATCCTGAATCTTTTTGCATGGCTGGCAGGTGCCTTTGAACTCTGCTAATACCTCTTGCTTGCCTGGACGGAGGATCGAGAAGGGTATGTGCACAGAGAACCTAGACAACTATGTGAAGGTGGAATCTGCATGTGTTGCTCCACCCATTTATGGAATGCTCTCCCCAGGGAGGGTCACCTGGTGCCTTCATTATATAGTTTAGGGGCCAGGCAAAAACATTCCTTTTCAACCAGGCCTTTGGCTGATTAATATCCTGCAGACTTTTAAATGTGTATATGGGAAGGGGGCTATTATTTGGCTGTTTTGATTTACTTATTTACTTGTAAATCCTGTTTTCACCCTGTATTTTATACCCTGAGATCTTATGATGAAGGGCAGTATTAATAACAACAACAACAACAACAATAGCAGCAGCACCTCGGGCCCTGCTCCATCAGTAGCATGCAGCCCCCAGGTGTTTGGTTGCCCAGAAGGGAAGGTGGTCATCTGGCTCAAAAAAGGTCCCAAACCCCCACTTTGGAACAGCTAAAAATGAGCCAGTAGTTAAATGATGTAAGGGAAGCAGCAGCATTGCTCCCTTGCTCAGTTGTTTCATCTGGTAATTAGCAAAAGAATTTGGAAAACACATGCCACACAATGGAGTGGTGTTTTGTAAAAAATAATATTCAGGATCACATGGAGCAACAGTTATTCTATAAACTGGGATAACTCTGTTCAGTGAAACGAACAGAGTACCCAGTAGCATTTAGCAGAAGCTTCTTGTTCTTGCTCTTCCTCCCCCTAATTCCAGGACTTGAGGAAATAAGGGATAGAAGCATAGCTGTCAACGTTTCCCTTTTTTAAAGGGAAATTCCCTTATTCTGAATAGGATTCCTCGCAAGAAAAGGGAAAAGTCGACAGCTATGGATAGAAGAAAGGGGTGTTCTAACCCAAGCTGTTAGGATGAGAAAGAGGGGCCAGTGGTCATGGGAGCTACCGGAAGGATGAGCTGTAGTGTTTCATCTGATGGCTGTCACCAATGCAAGTCTTCTTTGCAACCACCCACACCCTATAAAATTAACCAGTAAAGAGGTCTCCACCACAGCAGTTTGACATCAAAATCCACCTAAGCACTGTTTGCAGACCTTGAAGGAGCAGAGCACTAGCTTTTCCCAAGCACATAATTTATATTTAATAGGCTGCTCTAGCCTAGTGACTTAATGCATACAATTATTATACACAATTTCCCCCATCTCCAAGGAGCTTGTAATGTTACGTTACAAAAGAGGTGAAGGAAACACAGCACGGAAGCCAGAAGTGCAGGGAGTAGAGGGTCAGCTGCTTTATTTTAAAAATACAGGAGGGTGTTGATAGTAGGCTATGTTGATTGGTAATATGATAGCAATAATCTAGGCCAAACCGGAAACGTATAGCAACAGGGGAAGCTGACATATACTGAGGCATGCCTCTGGTCTATCTATACAAAAGGTGGGGAACCTTTTCTGACCAGTGGGATAAATCCTTATCGCCCAACCCCCCAGCAGGCCATCCAATCAACTGACATCACAATGACATCAAGTAATGCTGCACTTTGAAGCCCCAATTGTTGGGACTTCAAAGTGCATCACAGGGGCTATCTGAAAGCTCTTTTGCAAGCAGACCCCCAGAAGAGGGAAGAGGTTTCCAATGAAACTATTGTTTAATTGAACCTGGGACTGTTCTGCTTGCAAAGCTATGTTCTGTCACTGAATTGCAACCCCTTCCCGAGTTACTAAATGCCACAAGTGGCCAAAGTACTTCTTTAAGATCGGCCCTCTATGAATCAAATAGAAGCAATCCTTACAACATAACTGCTTTCCAAGACTCTCTGTGTTGTGTTCATTTCAGGACGTCAACTTACACCAGTGAAGAAGCTTGGTCGAGCAGCGAAGACTCTGAAGATTATGATTACGGCTGTCATGTTAGTGACGACGAGGAGCTTATTGGTGGGGGCCATGTCGTCAGCTTCGGTAGTGATGAGATCTATACTACAACCGAAGTCACTGAGGTTCCTGTTAACAGAACTGTACATGCCGATGCTTTTCCTAATGTCAAAGCTGTACCATCACTTTCTTTTGAAACTTCTAAGCAACCCAAGTGGATCTCTAAAGAGTGGCACATCTTTGAAAGGAAAACCTACACATTTACCGTGGGCTCAGACATTGGTAACGACATTATCATTCATAAAGATTTTGAAGATGAAAGTGATGCTGACATTTCAAGTTTGTATTTAACGTCCTCGTCGCCATATTGGACTATGCTAAAAGGTGTTGCGCCGCCATCATTATCATCTTCCTCCTCTACTGTGTCGGATGCATTTTGGCTCGAAAACTTTTCTCAAGAAGTTGAATGAGGCAACTGGATCCAGTTTTGCACCGCCAGGAACTGGGTTTCTGAAACTGGATCTAGTTATAAGCTGGATTTTCACTCATACAACCTCTCTGCCAACTGATGGGCGAACAGGGAACTTGGGTGTTTGAAAGAAGCGATGCTCCCTCTTTCGAGGGAGGGAGAGAATAATCTCAACAGTGGAGAAATAACTACAGTCAGTTTTCATATAGACATGTCTCTGGAAGTCTAGCAGCCAAGCTATGTAGCACAACTGCAAGAGCAGAACTTAGCCAGCTTCTGCTTGTGAAGGTAAGAAACAGTATTACTTCAAAATGAATTATGCCAGACTCGAAATTAATCTAACCCTTGTCACTTTTTAGCCGAACCATTAGCAAAGATTAGGGAATTCTGTTCTTAGCATTTTACTGCAACACACAGGCCCACACACATTTGGAAACTCATTATCTGTATGCAGGAATGGGTTCCCTGCATCCCACAATTCTGGTCTATGTAGCCTGATGGTATGGCATGCACCAATCAATGTACAATCCTCAAATTTGTCAAGGGCCCCTTGGATTATCGTAACAACCAAAGTTTCCCCAGTGGTGCCAAATTGATCCACGCCTACTTTATTTCTGACCCCTCCTTTAATTACTTATATCCTACCTTTTAAAGGGGGAAAGAAAACCATCCCAGTCCCGCTTTTTAACGCTTTATACAGTTCAATAAATTTGGTGTCAACACCAAGGAAGAATTTGGAATGTTGTGAATCCCCTCCATCACCACAAAGGGAGGGATTATATTTTGTACGTATACACCCCATTTCAACTAGCTCTTTGTGTTCCTAAAGCAGGTTAAGTGTGCACGATTAATTAAGCACACTTACATATCCCATTGTTTTAAAATGCTTTAAGCATTTGAACTTTAGAAGAATTAAAGGCATTCAACAATTCTCTCTTGACTCTCACAAGGCCATCCAATGAACCCATTGGCTATGGTGAGGTTTTAACCTGGGCTTCCTCGATCCAAAACCAATTCACCAGCCACAAGACCAAACTGGCTCAGAACAAAAAAGCAGATACCCAGGGTTGTGCTCAACCTACACAATTCCATATTAAGCACCAGATGCTGCTATAAGAGCAACAGAAAATACTTTAAGTGCATAACAATACAGAAGACACAAAGGTACTGAGAATCCTGTTAAGAGGATGAGCTCTGCACTTTATTTGGTGTAAGTGTACTGAAAGCAACCTACAGCTCCAAAGCATTAGGAACTCATAAATAATACAGGACGATAATGACAGTCAACACAACTGTCTTAGAACAGAGTCCATTTTGAGGCTGCGCCTCGTGTTCAACTTCTTACAACTCATCCACAAAAGGGGTGTTTGCCAAATCCCCACTAGCTGCCATTGACTTCTTCCCACTAACAAACTTCTTTGCGGCCTGAAAAATAAAGCAGAAAGATAGCAGAGGACAAAATGTTAGGCGACTGAGGCATCATCTGCTTTGGAATCAGCAAACAGAATCACTGTATTTGATGAGTGGCTATTTTTGAGCTTTAAAGGAACTGCTGGATTAGAATTTGGCTTGCAGTGGGTGTAGGAAGAGCCATTTGTGGGGCAGAAAGCCAGTGTTGGTATTCATTTAATATATTTGTATTCTGCATTCTACCAAATCTAGGTCTCTGTGGCAGTTGGCAAAAGAGAAAAATGAGAAGCAAACCCAGACACAGAGGACTGCAAACTCCCCAAACGCAAAGGGTAACACCAGCAAAGTGCCATCGGAAGTGTGGGCGGATGGAAACATTTAGGGTCAACACTTCACAGATACAGCTCTGATGGGTATCCCAGAGACTGGGAGTCACCGGAGCAAAGTCCTGTCCCTCAGAATTAGGGTTATGAGGACTGCTGGCCAACTCAAGAAGTGGGTCACCTATTTTGTCAGCGCTACAGAAAACAGGAAGAGGGGAAACCGTTCTAAATACAAAGCTGCTGATTATGTTGTAATCTACAGGCACCTTACTTACATTCACAATGTCAGCAGTGGCCACAGAATCAATCTTTTCGGCCGCAGCACTTGGTGATGTGTATGCCCCAGATGCCAGGGCCTGAGAGCCAATTTCATCAAGCAAGCCTTCTGAAGACTCCACAGACATCAAGTAAGCCGCCTTCAGCTGGTTTCTGTCAAGAACATTGAGGAAAATGAGCATAGCAGCCTGCTTAGGAATCTGTAAATATGATGGCAGACAATCGGCAGGAAAAGTATAATGTGGAGTGCATTTATTTACACTGTCTTACTTGCATTTGCAATGCACTTTGTAATTCTGACAAGTTACAGGATGCCTATTACTTTAAAACAGTCCGTGAGACTGGAAATCACAAGGCATTCTTGAAGGCAGGCATGAGAGAAGATCCAGCTTCATGGGAGGAAAAACAACCCTCAGTTAAATAGGTCAAAAAAAATCTTGTAATCATGTATTTTATGAAATCATGTAAAACCTAACAATTTGTTAGATTTCCATAGTTTAAGAGTAAAGTAGATTTTCTGTACATTTTAGTGTTCCATTGCTGCTCTTCTTTTTTTTTAAAGTAGTCCAATAATGTATATTTTACATAAGAAACAGCCATTTGCCAATTCAGAGTATTTGTCCACCTTATCAATATTGCTTACTCTGACTAGCAGCTGGCAGTTCTCTAGAATCTTAGGCTGCCCAAACCTTTTAACTGGGTGACAAGCAGGGTTTGAACCTGGGATCTTCTGCATGCAAACCATGTGCTCAACAACTGAGCTACGCCGCCTTCTCTGAATGCCTCAACCCTATCTCATTTGTCCTAGATGAGAGGCACGTTTCTTATTTAGATATAAAAACGAGAGCTTTTACTTGACTCAAAAATACATCAAATTAAAATGTACATCAACAATTCCCGAATATCAGGAATGTGTGCCGGGGCAGAAAGAGGGTTGAGTATAATATATGATTTTGGGCTGTGAGCAGGTCATAAGAATAGCTCTGGTAAGCTAACTTACTTGGCTCTTGTGACTTCCGCATCAGTGACTCCACCCTGGGCAACTGCCTTCACTTGGTTCAAAGCAGCTTTGATTACCTTGATTCAAAAACATGAAAATATGTTGCTGCTGGCTACAAAAGTCAGAATTCAACCCCTGCCCCCCACTTTATTTACATGTACCTAGAATTTTTATTAGACATATGCAGCCAGAGCTGTCCCTTGAGGTTTGTAGGGCTGAGGGAGAATCACTCTGTGTGGTCCTCACATTATTTGTATACAGGGAAAATCTGAGCCAGATCAGGCCTTCTGTATCTGCAATGTGCACAGGAGGGGAATATCCAACTGGAGTGAATGCAAGTCCCATCCCCTGAGCAAGCTGCAGGGGCATGGGTGGGTGGATTGAAAGTGGGTGGGTGAGAAAGAATAGCAGGTCTCTGGGGCTTCTTTTCACCTGCTACTAGATCCCTTTCTTTTAACTGGAGACGCCAAGGACTGAATCTGGGTTCTTCCACTATGGTCTTTTCCAGAGCCAGATTACTTTGTTTGCCCACTTACAATCATATGAATTAAGGAGATTTTTTAAAAGAAGCTAATCCACAAGAGGTTTCATAAAGACATCTATCATAAAGTACATCTATCCCTCTGACAATAGGAACTTAAGGACACATTTTCTACTTTCAGCACATCCTTCCTGAAAGCAAAACACCCCTTGCAGTGTCAGGAATACACACATTTGTCATAAAACCCTACCAATTGTTTAAAAAATCCTTTTTCAGAACTTGCAGACTGAACGTGCTTCCAATTAACTTGGTCTGAGAAAACCAACTGGTGACTTACCTCCCCAGCAGCTGAAGCCTGGGATACAGTGTAAACGCCAAAGAGTCCGGAATCAGAGTAATTCACATTAAATGCTGCTGCCTGCAAAAGAAATTTGATTTCAGTTAGCATATTCCAACAAGATCTTTTCTTCATGCAGAAATATTTTTTGGCATTTTAAAGTAGTCCATGTTTAGAAAGGCTGAAATTCAAAATAGGAAACAGAGTTAGGAAATAGGCCTAGCAAATAGGGTTATCATTAGTTTATTATTGATTGTTCATATTTTAGTTAATGTATGTAATTGTGCATAAATTAAAAACAATCAGAAGCCATAATCTCAAATGAAAAATTCTCCTTGTCTGAGAGAAGTGGAAAATGCCACTTCTTAGAGGGCATTTGCCATATGTAGGTTTTTAAATTATTTGTACAGTAGTATCTTGGTTCTCAAACTTAATCCGTTCCAGGAGTCTGTTTGACTCCACAAACCGTTCAAAAACCAAGGTGCAGCTTCCAACTGGCTGCAGGAGCTTCCTGCACTCAAGCAGAAGTCATGTCGGACGTTTGGCTTCCAAAAAACGTTTGCAAACTGGAACACTTACTTCCGGGTTTGCGGCGTTTGGGAGCTGATTTGTTCGGGAGCCAAGCCCTTCGAGTACCAAGGTACTTGTAAATTTGCTTGTATTACTTAAGAAAAGAAATCTGTAGATTCATTTAATCAAAGACACTTTATAAGTACCAAGGTACTTGCAAATTTACTTCTATTACCTAAGAAAAGAAATTCGTAGATTCATTTAATCAAAGACACTTTATAAAATTGCACTGAACACTGCAGCTCTGGTAGAAATCTTTGGCAAAAACCACTAGGAGCTTCTATCACAAGACCCCTTACAGAAATTCCATTCATTCCAAAGGGACTTCTGCCGCACGTCTGTTGTCATTGTTGCTGATAATAACTTAAATAATTTATATACCACTTATATGCTAAAATTACTTCTAACTGGGTTTAACAACTATACAATCAAGTATGAAATCCATAATTAAAAACACACACAGTTACAATTCCATTGGGACATTAAATCACCCTTAATTAAAACTAAAAAGAAACAAGCAAGTTAAAAAGTATAATTAATCCAGTAAGAGAAGTCCAAGGAAATGCTTGGCTAAACAGGTGTGTCCTCAGCAGTTGGCAGAATGCCAATACTGATGTGACCTCTCGTATTTCAGTAGGAGTGGCATTCCACACCACCAATCCCGCCAGTGAAAAAGCCACCCCACCACCATGTTACCACAAGCCAATAATCATCAGGCTGTGGCAAAACTAACCAGGTTCCATTAGTGGATTGTAGCATCCTTACAAGGCGCTGGAGATAAAAAGAATGGTTTTCAGGTAACTGGGTCCAGAGTTATTCAGGACACTGTATCTAAGCAGCAGAGCCTTAAAACTGGCTTGGTGGCTACTAGCCAGCCAGTGCATGCTTTCCCCAAATAATCATTTCCCAAAATATAAACAGTACAGGTTGCATCCAATGCTAGTCCTGCACAGAGTAGATCCACCCACTAAAATTACTGAACATAACTAACTTAGGTTCATTAATGTCAACAGTTCTACCCTGAGTAGGACTTACAATGGATACAACCCGACACTTCTCTGCTCTTTTTTTGCTCACATTAAAATCACAGGTGCAAGCCTACATACTTACATCAAAAGGTAGGGCAGTTGCCTTCGCAACACCTTGGATGAGCTTACTGGTAACGCTACTTCCTCTCTTAATGAGAGGCCCTGCCCCAAGAACATGCTGAAGGACACTAAAGGCGTTTGCTTCTGCACTTCCTACAGCAGCTCCTTCAGCAACTACGGCAGCATGGACAAGGCTATGGCTGTTCAGCTCTCGGATTTCACCTTAGTGAGAGGCAAAAAGAGGCATTATATGCTCATCAAAGCATAACACATCAACAATCCCTGCAATAATAGCATTTTCTCTGTCAAATTGTCTACAGAGAAGCCTTCCTAAACCCACCATGAAACTGGTAGCTTTATCAAGCCACCTCCTAAGAAACTACAAAGTTCCCCAGAATGCAGTTTGAAAACTAACACAATCAAAACACAAATTCGGAGAGAACCCAAAGTGACTTGCAGATAGGATGTTAATGCTACTGCCACGAAGTATGCTAGAGGGAGAGCTTAGAATTTCTCTAGATCTTTAAGGCCCAAGTCAACGACAGACACATGATGGCTACTGAATTATGAAACTGAATTTTCAAGGTGATCAAGTAGACAAGAAAATTCATTTTCTTTTGTACCCTGAAAAACTACAGCAGCCTTAGAATTTAGCCCTTGCCCAGCAGGCAGCAGGTCAAAGTGCACAGGCCAAAGTGGTGCGATGGCAGTGGAATCCACTGAAAGGTAAGTCACATGCTCTCACCCTGCAGGACTGTTGTGAGGAGAACTAGGAACAGCACTGTGGGAGAACATCTGTTTTGCAGGGGGAAGGTCCCAGATTCATTCCCTGACATCTCCAGTTACATCAGCAAGCGTCTGGAAAGGCCTCTCCCCACTCAAGACTCTGGATGATCACTGCCAGCAAGAGCAGATGATAAAGGCCTAGATCAACTTTTCCCAACTGTTTTGGACTACAATCCCCATCAGCGACAGCCAGTGCGGTTAATGATCAGGGATGATGGGAGTTTGGAGAGCACCATATTGATTGGGGAAGGATGGCCTTGATGGCAAAATAGCCCCAGCCTGGCAGTTAGGAACACGGAGTCCTAGGAAGCTGCCTTATACCGAATCAGGCCACTGGGTCCATCCAGCTTAGTATTGTCTACGCTGATGGAAGTAGCTCTCCAGGGGTTCAGGAAAGGTTCTCTCCAGAGCAGATGTTCTACCATTTATCCCCCAAAGAAAAGATGCTGCTTTGTGCTGAATAAGACCATTGAACTGTCTGCACTGACTGGCAATGGCTCTCCAGTGTTTCATACAGGACATTCCCAGTTGTACTTTGGAATTACCGGGGATTGAACCTGTGACCTTCTGCATGCAAAGCCGATGTTCTAGCATTGAGCACTGGCCCCTATGTTCCTGTGAAGCATGTATGCCCCACCCTGAACATCTTGGAGGAAGGGTGTGATAAAAACGTAGCGAACTGTAATATGCCTATTGGGAACAGTAATCTACAAGCCATATAACATGTGCTGGAATTCTCTGGTCTTTGTGAAAGGTTGTCCCTGGACGTGGAGTAAGGCAACAATGCAGTGGCTGGGGCAGGGGTACAGCAGGTTTGAAGGCTAGATGATGGCCCCACAGCAAGATGTCAGAAGGTAGGATGGACTCACCCCATCAATCTAATTCAGCAGCACTGCTACAGAATTATCAAGAAATATGCAGGTACCAAAAAAGAGAGAGCACATTTACCTCCACGATACTTGGCCTTCTCACCAGCTGAGCCAGACCCGCTGCGGATGTTTAGGAAATGCTCTCCAATCTGCTTCAGGTCAGAATGGCTGACACCTGAAAGGCAGTGTTAGCATCAGAAGAACAACCCAGAGGTTTGCGGCAAAGGGTGTTTTTGTCTTTTAAAAGAACACAGCACAGCCACAGATCTTGCCTTACATACCGAGCCCCACCAGAGCCATTCTGCCACTTGTGAAGTTGTTCTGTACGAACTGGTGCAGCTGTGATGAAAAGGAGGGTGTACGTGTTAGTATTTCTGCCACATAACTAAAA